CAGAGTGGGAGGAGCTGCCGGACCAAGAGAAATACGCCAAGATGGCACGGCAGGGTCACGGATTCATTTCCAGTCTGCCCGTTTGCGTTATCAAGCCTGAACAGCCCGAGGGTGTCCTCATCAACGTTGCCAAGAATGGCGCCGAGGTCGGGGAGATCGTCTTCGCTGGAAACAGTTGCGCCAAGGGGTACTTCAAGGACGAGGAGGCGACCAGGAAGCTTTTTGCCGGTGGGGTTTTGCATTCTGGAGACCTGGCCGTGTGGCACCCCGACGGGAGCATTCAGATCTTCGATCGGTCAAAGGATATCATCATCTCCGGTGGCGAGAATATCTCCTCGGTTGCGCTAGAGTCTCTGCTGGTCGAGCACGATGATATTCTTGAGGCCGGCGTGGTGTCGGTGCCCGATGAGCGTTGGGGCGAGAGTCCAAAGGCGTATGTCACGGTGAAGCAGGGGAAGACGCTCAAGGGGGAGGACGTGATTGCCTGGGCCAGGAATAACGGTCGAATCAGCCGGTTCATGGTGCCAAGGGAGGTGGAGATTATTGATGAGCTCCCAAAGACAAGCACCGGCAAGATTGAGAAGAAGAAATTGCGGGCCATGGCTGCTGCCAAAGACGAGTAGTGGGTTCAAATCGTTGGGATACCAGAATGTATGATCCGATAGAGTAGGAGAAAGCCTGGCCATGCATGTTGACTCATGGCATCTCCCGGGAGTGGACTCGTAGCCATATTAGAAGTATCAAGACTACGTCACATTAGCAGGAAACTGTGCTCCAAGCTTTCCTTCATCGATCCCATCTAGAAAGGACATGTCTGTATCATCAAGCTCAAAATCAAACACCTGAGCGTTCTCTCGAATTCTCTCCGGGTTCTCACTTTTTGGGAGCGGGATCCAGCCTTTTTGTAGGCTATATCGAATGAGAACTTGCGCTGGTGATTTCCCGTTCTTGGCCGCGATTAGTTTCAGGTTTGGGTCGCTGAGTCTTGCCCCAGTTGCCAGAGGGCTATATGCTTGAATTATAATGTTATTATCTCGGCAGTATTTGACCAGCTGCCGTTGCTGGCACCAAGGGTGTAGCTGCGAGCAGGTCAGTTTTAGTTTATAAACAAAGAAAGCATAATTTTGGAGATGTCGGAAAGACACACCCCAAAACCTACCTCGATTTGATTGACATGTGGAGGCCATATGCTTGCATACTCCTTCAGCTCCTCGAGGTGGTCGATACCAAAGTTGCTGACCCCAATGGCCTTGACTCTACCTTCAGAATGTAACTCCTCCAGAGCAAGCCACACGTCTTTTACAGATCCGTTGCGAAATCTTGGGGTATGAATCAGAAAGAGATCGACATATCCGTCCCGGCCTCCTCCCAAAGCTTCAATGCTCTTGAGAAGACTTTGGCGAATGTCATCGGGCCCCCCGCGCCACTGCTTGATCTTGCTTGTCAAGAACACTTCTTCCCGGGGAACAGGTGATTCTGCAACGGCAGCACCGACTTCGGCCTCGGATTTATACAGCTGTGCACAATCAATGTGGCGGTAGCCATGCCGCAGAGCGCTGAGGCATGCAGCCTTGCATGCATGTGGGGGGATTTTGTAAACTCCAAATCCCAGAATCGGCATGCGGAGGCCTAGGTTTCCAATAGGGAGGGTCTTTCGTAGACTATGTGTTCTTTCAATCGCCATGTTTCATGCGAGTTGGTTTGTCTTGCTTTGGTGCTGAACGGCTGACTCAATTCTTCAACATGCTTGTTTGTTCTCCACTAGCAGAGAGCAATGGAACTTTTAGTTACTAGGTATTTCTGAATACATACACAACCCATAACCTTCGAGTCTCAATTTGATAATTTACAGCAAATACTGTGAATATGCCTATATCTATATATTTTAGAATCAATCAATAAATGGTGTGAGTTGTGAAAGACCAGCAGAAATGCTCTGGCCGTCTCACTCCCGGGTAGCTATGGGACTTTAGTGGCGGTTCTGGGTAATGGCCTGTGCTGGGGATTACTGGGTTAGCTGCGGGTGGAGAGGAGCTATAGAATGACCTGATGATTATGCAAGTGACCCCATCCAAACAAAAGTTGATAGAATCGAAAGGAATCGAAGACAAGGCTGAGAGCTGTATGCTTCTCGCCATTGGATGCTGTTTTCGCATGATATAACTAATGCTACCCAACTTCTTCGAAACGCGTGCAGCCATCAATGCATCCATCAATCGGGTCGGCCGCATGGCGCTCCGCCGCGGGCACTAAATCTTCGCGACGGCTGTAGAAGGTTCGCTGCAAGGTTCAGGCTGGCGTTGCGTGACGTTAGCTGCTGTCACTGCACTCTGACAGCAGCTAAGTGGGAGCCTTTACGTCACCAAAGGGCACTCACTTCGGTGGGGTCATTCCATCCCACATGCTCCCTCGTCTTCTTTTCCTGGAGAATAAACTCCATGCCATTGCCACGTCTGAGGACATCCCACCGAGACCCAACTCCTCCCCGCGCCCCTCGAGAAACTCACATCCTCATCCACCATAACCTAACATCCATCTTGCTCGGTTCAGAACATGAGTGAGCTGCCAGGCCTGCCCGCCGTGGCCCTTGCGACAGGCGCTTCTCAAGGCGCCGATGTGCTGATTCGGCCAATACGAGGGAGCTGTAGCTGTGGGAGAAACCGATTCATCATTACTCTGCCAACTGATGACATTGACCAAGCACGGGTCCTCTTCAACACAGACCGCGCCCATCGTAAGTCGATTCACCCCCCCAGCGGCACCCAATGGGTTCCTCGGTCTTCCTCTTCTCGTCAATTACAAACCCACGGCTAACATTATTCCGCAGAGGTCCCCCTGGGCACCCCGCTGGCCGCCTACCTGCGCGTGCCTCTCTCCTGGTACCACAGCACCACCTTCGCCCAGTTCCCCGACGAGACCCACGCGATGATCCGGAGAGTCTACACGCCCCCCGACCACGGCTCCTCGATGCGACATTTCTGCGGCTTCTGCGGCACGCCCCTCTCCTACTGGTCCGAGAATCCCATCAGCGAAGCCTCTTATATCAATCTCACCCTCGGGAGCCTACTGCAAGATGATCTACGGGATCTCGAGGACATGGGACTGCTCCCCGACGATAGGGAGGACAGCGAGCAAGAGGCGCAGGGGGCAGAGGACGAAGAGGGGGCCGGAAGCCCGGGTCTCAGATTGGCTATGCGAGAGTCATACGGCGTCCCATGGTTTGATGGGCTGGTCGAGGGGACTCGCTTGGGGAGGATGAGGCGGACACAGGGCATTCGGAGCTCTGGGGATGGCAGGGTGAGAGTAGAGTGGGAGATTGTGGAGTTTGATGGCGATGACGAAGATGCCAACGAAGGACAGGAAATGGATGTGGACACAGCTGCTCCCGCGACTGCCGGGAAGCGGAAGCGCGAGAGCACAGATGCAACAGGCAATCTGAAATAATGAACATGTTTGGGGGTGTGATTTCATATACGATCTTTTCTTTCTCTTCTTTTAATATCTTGGCAAAAAGGGGAGATGTCGATGGTTCAGAAGTTTGCGGGCGGGCGTGTTTGGAGTTGAGGATGAGTTGCGAAGCATTTGGATGGTGAAGGCCGAGGTTCGGAGAATAAGCCCGTGGCAAGCAACACAAAACGCAAGAAGGGTGATTTCTGGAGTCAGGATCAGTAGTAGAAGCTCGGATAGGGTTCATCTGATGCCATAATATCGATGTTTTACAGCGAAGTTGGTTTATATATATCGGATTGTTTGCTATCGTGGTGCTTTGATGCGAATCACGCAGTCCCAACTCCCACTTCAAAAGCAACGGACGAAACAATGGGGTGCCATCGATCATTCGGCTCGTTACAGTGAGCATTGAATACTGACTACCTTGGTTGCTTTAGACCTCGGACATCTCGGGACGGGATTTGAGCTGAACGGTATTTTTCCTTAAATAGACCTTCCTCCACGGGTCATACATGATATGCTCGCTTCTGCTAGCTGGCGCTTGGCATTGCTGTTGGTAGGTTGGCCGTGAGGAAATGACACGACGCCGTATCCTGTGCTGGGCAGGCCAATTGGTCTCGAGGCCGGGAGAATTATGTGATTGTTCTCAAATAATACCTAGGTAGGCAAGCATGGCAATATTATATGATATTATTAGCAGTTGATGACATTGGCGTACACTGTGACTCTGGATAGGTGTGGGGTCTCTGGCCGGAGAGACGGGCCGGCGTGTCGTTTCGGCCAAGTTCCCACGGAACCGAAGCTCGAGTTGTTGCTCCAGAGGCTGAGGAGAGCGACAGCAAGGACCCTGCAATCCGGTCAATCCTCACCTCACTCAGACGGCCACCCGTCTGCAGCCTGGGCCGGTAGGGACCCCACGGCGTCGACGAGGCTGGCGTCGCAGTGGGCGGGAGCAACTCAATCCCTCCAGTCACTCGCTGCCATTTTCCCCAGCCAGCACTCGAGGTTTCGGAACAGCTCCAGCCAGGCACCTACTTTATGTGACGGAATGGCTGCACGCCTGCATGCGACCCCTACCCGGCTGCCCCTTCCCTCCCTACCTCCTCCCCTGCCTCGCCGGCCTACCCTAAGCTCTGTTGGGCAACGGACCCCCGAGCCTGGGCTGCACAAGCGAAACCCCCACAAACCCTCTGCTCTCCCTCCTCGTCTCTCCACTCCCCTGGGGAGCCTTCTCCTCATCGTGGTCTCTGTCCCTCAGCTATCGACCACGTCGCTTTCGGTCGCCACGGTCCGATACCAGTTACTTGGCTCGTGGACACGGGACCTTTTGCCAGGGCCATTGCCTGCTATAAAACATGGACTCCCCAGTGGTTGAGCTCCGGATGGAAATCTTCACTCTCTCTACCTATTCATACATACGATTGTCCCACACAGACAGCGAAACTGTAACGACATAAGGGTCGTCCACCAAAGACGACCAATAGAGTAGTGGGCTATCTATTAGCCCAAGTGTCTCCCTCCTTTATAGATACATTGAAATCACATCAACCATGGCGGCACTGCCAAGCGACTTCCAATGGGGATTTGCAACAGCTTCGTATGTGAAACTGATCCCGTCTTTTGACGTGTATATCTTTGCTGTTGGGAGCATTCATCTAACTGTTACATGATCAGATATCAAATTGAGGGCTCAGTTGACAAGGATGGTCGTGGCCCGAGTGTTTGGGACACCTTCTGCAAGCTCCCCGGCAAGATTGCTGGCGGCGTCTCGGGTGATGTAGCTTGTGACTCCTACAACCGGACTGCTGAGGACATTGCCTTGCTCAAGTCTGTCGGCGCAACTGCCTATCGCTTCTCGCTCTCCTGGACTCGCATAATCCCCGTCGGTGGTCGTGGCGACCCCATCAACCAGGCTGGTATCGACCACTACGCCAAGTTCATCGATGACCTGCTTGCCAATGGCATCACGCCCTTCCTCACTCTGTCACATTGGGATGTCCCCGATGGGCTCGAGAAGCGATACGGCGGCCTCTTGAACCGTACCGAGTTTCCCCTGGACTTTGAGCATTTCGCCCGCGTGTGCTTCAAGGCTTTCCCCAAGGTCAAGCACTGGGTCACCTTCAACGAGCCGTGGTGCTCTGCTATTCACGGTTATTGGTCCGGCCAGTTTGCCCCCGGGCGTGGTTCGAACCGCGAGAAGAATCCCGAGGGTGACAGCACTACTGAACCCTGGATCGTCGGCCACAACTTGCTGGTGGCACACGGTCGTGCTGTCAAGGTCTACCGTGAGGAATTCAAACCGACCGATGGTGGAGAGATTGGAATTGTTCTCAATGGCGACGCCGTCTTCCCATGGGATGCCACCGACCCTGAAGATGTGGCTGCCTGCGACCGCAAGATTGAGTTCTCCATCTGCTGGTTTGGCGACCCAGTCTACTTTGGCGAGTACCCTGCTTCGATGCGCAAACAACTAGGCGACCGTCTGCCAACGTTCACCCCAGAGGAGAAGGCGCTTGTTCAAGGCTCAAACGACTTTTACGGAATGAACCACTACTGTGCCAACTACATCAAGCACCGCACTGGAGAGCCCGAGCCAGACGACCACATGGGGCACCTGGAGGCCCTCTTCTACAACAAGAGAGGTGACTGCATCGGTAAGGAGACCCAGTCCACATGGCTGCGCCCCTGTGCTCCCGGCTTCCGCGACCTGCTCGTTTGGCTCAGCAAGCGATACAACTACCCCAAGATCTTCGTGACTGAGAACGGAACTAGCATCAAGGGGGAGAACGACCTTCCAAAGGAGCAGATTCTCGAGGACGACTTCCGTGTGCAGTACTTCGATGACTACGCCAAGGCACTGGCCACCGCTTCGGCTCTGGACGGCGTCAACGTCCGCGGCTACTTTGCCTGGTCTCTCCTGGATAACTTTGAGTGGGCCGAAGGATATGAGACACGGTTTGGTGTCACTTACGTAGATTATGAGAACGGACAGACGAGGTATCCAAAGAAGAGCGCAAAGAGCCTCAAGCCCCTCTTTGATAGTCTGATCCGGAAGGACTAGGCAATGCACATTTTTACGTGACAGCAACGAAAGGGCCAATAAAGAGAGATGAACTGTAACAGAGATTAGTGTATGGTTTAAGTTGTGATGTTATGATGGAAGGGAAATCAATGTACTTTTGCTCTTGCTCCAAGACTGGGTATCAAATGAAGGTTTTGCCTATGCTTCCTCCCGTATTTATATCTATATGCCCGAGGTTACATTCTATACTTCTTGCTCCAATTTCCAAACTCCAACACAATGCAGCGCGCACGTTGTACAACCCTGCGGCTCATCCCTTGACCTCGGATGGTTTTTGGATGTCCGCAACGGTCTCTTTCTCTTCTAGACGAGCCGCGGAGCCCTTTGCTCCTTCGTCTGGCGATACTTCCGTACCACTGGTCGATTCGGCGCCCGATCGAGGCAGAGGACTGTTGTTACTCTCCATCTCTCGCCTCTGCTCTGGGGTTTGAAGGTCGACGCTCTCGGATTCCTCCAGATCTGCCTTGCGGCCCTTTTCCACGTATCTCTTGAGGAAAAAGACGAGGATTTGGGCGATGAATACCTGGTGAGAGAACCCATGTAAGACAACGTATACGAGCATTTATTTGATGAACATGATAAGATCGGGCCAACTAACCTGTTCAATAGTGTACAGCAACACGGGGATCTGAATGTACGCCCGGGTCAGGTTGTCCGAGTCTTTCCACATGGCCGTCACGAGCGGGATACCGAGGCTTGTCGTCTTGGCTGCACCGCAGAAGCACACGGCGACGGTCTGCTCCCTCGACATGCGCTTTAGCGCAATGATACGCTTCACCCAGGACGGCAGGCTCCTCGTAAGCTTGGACTCGGTCAAGATTGGGTTGACGGCCCTGAGAAGCCAGAGGGGCGGGCGGGCAGAGCAGAAACAGATGACCGTGAAGACGAGGTAAAGTCCAACGTTTATGAAGACGTTGAAGATGACGGAAGACGGTGACAGCTTGTAAAGTGCGCCCGTTTCGAAGGCTCCAGAGAAGGTTGTCCTGTTATTTTCGGTCAGACCTTTTGCGTGTAAATGAATAGAATAAAGAGGAGCCATGCTTACCAGACGAGGAGAATGAGACACAGGCCGGAGATCTTATTCAGCATGAACTTCTGCAGAACCCATACCGTCTTCTCTTCCCACAGCGCCCTGACGACCTGGCCGACGATGAGCGGCAGCAGGACGCTCAGCCCCATCTGCTGCGCTACGTTCGCGTACATGTTGCTGAGGGTGCTCGGGTCGGCGGGCCGCCACGCATCGAAGACGGAGCCGGTGGGCATGAACCCGTAGATGAGGATGGGGGAGAGGAAGGAGCCGATGATGTTGCCAAAGACCACGCAGACGATGGCGGCCGCGTCGTCGCCGCCCGAGGCCCGGGTCATGACCACGTTGGAAGCGATCGTGGTGGGAATGCACGACACCACCAGCATGCCGATGATGACGGGCAAAGAGGGCGTGCCGCTTTCTAACGAACCACCAGCAATACATATGTGAAGGACCGCTACATCCACGATGGTTCTCTTGTTAGCACGAATTATGTGTCCTTTCGAGGGAAACCAAAAAAAGGAGAATAGGCAGCTATTTACCAAGCATGATGGCAGGGATCACGGCGAAACTGATGCCCTGGACAATGATATGAAGCCTCCAGTTCGTGACGTTTTGGCGCAACTTGCTGAAGGGAAGCGACAGGCCGCTAACAAGGAAGATGAACGCCACGGCGCCGTAGACGATGCTGTATTCACTCCTGATCACGCCTCCGTGGGCAGCGACATCTGCCAGGAACACACACATAAAATCGTTAGCCGCCGTCTTCTCTCAACCCAACCGCCGATGAATACATGGCTCCTGCGCTACGATACGACTTTTTTTCTATTTTCCTTTCTTGCGCGCAACGGAGTTTCCAAGTTCAGCGTAAATCTGCCATATATTGCTTACGAGGAAAAAAGTGTCCCAGCAGGCATGCCAGCCCGAAGCCGATTGTGAGCCACTGACTGGTCACAAAGTCGGCGACCTTGCGCAACCTCGCCAGGAACCCAGCCTTGTCCTGCTCCGTCTCTGGTTCGGGGGAAGAATCTGCCATCGTTGGGGGGATGGCTTCGAGCCCAGACAAGGGGCTTCATATAAAAGAAAAAAAGCTCCAAAACTACGAAGCAATCACGCACGCCTCCGAGGAATCATTGCTGTTAAATGAACCCTCCGGACAAAGACTACTGCGTGGTGGAGTTACCTCGCTGACTGGCCGAAGCCCGGCCTCTGTCGATATGCTTGTGGGCCAGAGCAGCGAACGTCCGGCTTATTACCTGGGCTTGGCCGATGTCGTGATCTGCACCATCGGAGAAGTCGCCGATTGACTGGCGACTGTACCTAGGCGCGTTGGGACGGGATTGGTCGGGTTGCTGGGTTGTCTCGCAAATACGCCGATTTTTACATTATTTCAGAGCTTTGCCCAGAGTGACGAGTTTCCTTTGCTGTTGGTCCCTGGCAATTGATGGCCAACCTGGTTGGACTTTATCAATCTGATGACAGTGAAAATACTTGCTGGGAAAAAAGCGTCTAGAACCGATATGTTGTCTCTGTGGCTGCTTGAGAGGATGATAATAGCCAGAGAATAACACAGCATACTCTTAGTTTGGAAGCAGCACACGGCATATTGATTTCTTGTTGGGGCTAACACCGTTCATCAAGATGCCCAGTACGAGAGCTCAATATTAGAGGCTGAGCGCACGATGTCTTGATATTGCGCTGCTCATGTCACCGTTAATAACTACCAAGCATACAGACACGTGAGACTGGGGCATGTCTAAACCTTAAAGGAATCAGAAGTGGTCGTCAAGACGTTTAGGCGTTGCAGCATCGAATCAGGTCCAGGAAACTGCTTGGCATACCTAAGAACCTAGGTTTGGCCGCCAGGGCCTTTGTATTATCAAAACGAAATCAGGTAGGGGAAGCCCTGTGGTAAACCTTGAATAAACTACCAAGTACCTAACGCTGGGGCCTTTCCCCGTTATAACGGACTAAATCAGAAACAGGAAACTCAATGGGTATCTAATGAGGCGATATTACAAGTCTGGCTCGGGATTGTGCGACGCTTTCGTTGATGCGGCCGGTTGAAGTCAGACCGCGATTAAGACGGTAGATTATTAAGTCATCATTTCCCGCTTGTCAGAACATTGCTGACGGTCGGAACGGAATGCTAACTGCAAGTGAGGCTGCGACTCTCTCTCTCTATGCAGCAGCCATGACTGGCGAGAAAGCCGCCGATGCGTCATCCGCACTAGTGCTCGGAGCTTCTGCTATCTCAGGGTCTGGTATTTGAATATCCAACTAGAGTTGCAAATGTTAGTCCTGCAAGACTTGAGAGGGATTACCAATAATTACTCACAGTTGTATATCCTGTCCTGCGCAGTGATATGATACGTGGAGAAGCTCCTGCATCCTCTGCACCCATGGATTTTTCCATTTCCAGATTCCAATTGTCGATCCATTTCTCTAGGTTATTGAGTCGGCTTTTCGTGCCGGTGAAGCCAAGATCGTCCCACAGCCATCCTGTGGCAGCCCCCAAAACGCCATCCAGCAAGTTTCGCGGATTATATGGATTAAAAGCTGGAGCAACTTCTGAATTCACCTTGTCAATAACTCGACGGAACTCTTGCTCTGACAGCCCCGCGGGGTCTAGAATCTCGGGATACAGGTTTGAAAAGGTGGGGGCAAGATCTCCTCTAAGCATCCAGTCTCGCTTGATCCGGATGACCCTTGTGGATGTGAACTCTGGTGATTCGAGGGGAACATGAGGGTTCATGTGAGGGAAACAGGGATGCCCAGGCCCCCACTCCTCTTCATTGGGATCAACCTCTTCACCCATGATTGAAGAGTTGCTTGATGAGATCATTGACCCTATGCCATCGCCTGCTGATACCGTCGAGTCTCGTGGGTGCAGATCCCGTAGGCCGCTCTCCAAGTCCGGAAGGCCGGACCCGCCTAGTTCTTTGGCCTCAGCGGCCATGATGATGTTCTGATTGTGTTTGTTGATACGCTGTACTCTACTTCCGGCCCTGGCTCCAGATATTGCTTGCTCAGTGTGGGATACACCGCCAGAAGACTTGCCAGCCTGCGGTTGCAACGCGCTCTCGTCAGAAGATTGTCGTACCGACTTGGGCAAAGATATACGATGATTACTGGTCGCGATACGGTCCGCTTGAATACTCTGGCGGGCGAGGTCGGAGTGTCGGGCCTGACGCAGCTGTGGGAGCGTCAACAGGGGATGATCGGCAGAACCAGCAAGTGGATCAGAGTTTTCTGTCGAGTTGGCAAGCGATGGATGATCAAGAGGTACAGAGGGGGGAGGTGGTGTTGAGGGTCGACGTAGTCGGCGATGCCGTCTGCTGTTCTCACCGCAAGGGATTGCGCGAGGAGTCGAGTTGGTGGGATTCCAGAGGCGAGATGCTGGAGTTCGGTGGGGGCTTCTGGACTTGCGTGTCGGTGTGAGGGCCCGAGGAAGAGTTTGAAGTTTGGAGACGACTGGTTCGGATGCGGCTGCTGGTGGAATATGCCCGGATTGCAGGTTGTGGGATGGTTTTTGGGGCCTCGAGTCGTCGTCAGGGGGAATGCGACCTGCTACTTTGGCATCCACGCCGCGGTGTAGTGGAATCGCCAGGGAGGTGGAGGACGGCGGCTGCTGGCCGTGGGGAGCCGTGGGAAAGCAGGGGAGGCACAGCCGCCACTAACGTGACGGTCCGCGCTACGAGGTGAGTGGTTGTTGATCGGGCTGGAGCTGGTAGAGCCTGTCGATTGATAAATCACAGGCGCAATTGATGGTAGTCGATAACTTTGGATCTGACTCTGACGGCTTGCTGGGTTGCTTGGGGTGAGGGAGAAGGGTAGCAAACCTTCCCATCCTCTGCTGGCAAATCAATAAAACTAGTAGGCACAGGGACCAGTCAGCCAACCACGACGGGCTTAGCGGGAGCAAGGCGAGCGGCATTGAACTTCGGTATTAGCGGCCGGGTACTTACTCAGAGGTATAGAAAGTCGTGTTCGTAGCTATCAATTTCAGATATTGATTCTTTCATCATGGCCTGATTGAAGCGGAGTATTGTCAACAGGCAAGAGCTCCATTTAAGGTGAGAGATCGATATATTTTGATAGAGGTGTGTATGTTGCCGACACCTTCTAATGTGTGCCTCAGCTGAACAAATACTCCATGTGGCTAGTGAGACGAGAAAGGGTGAGCGATAAGAGATAAGCTGTTGGCGGCTAAGTGAGTGTCTACCAGTTGATGACGTTACCCTCGTACCTGCCAATCTATGACAGCGTCAACAGCTCGCATGAAAACGTTCGATATGCACGGTGCTGCAGGTCGAAATGAAGTTCCATTGTGCGCAATCTCGCGTGGATATGTCCTGCGTCCTAAGTCCTTGAATTTTGGAGACGCTTTGCAACAATGTTACCTTGCAGTGACCCTCATAGACAGACTCCCTAACCCTGCTCTTCATGTAAGGGGCCGTGTCGTACCTTCCACCACCGCTGCTACCCCAGATTTGGATCAAGTGACGTGATGTTCCCATTCCTCAGCTATTAGTCGATGTGTGGCACGCACCCTGAAATGTATTGCACTCAACCTTCTCTACCGTACCTGGTACCTATAACACATTCCATATCATCGCCTCACCCCATCCCCCTTGTGAATGACTGACTGACCGCAATCGTCAAAATCCCTGCGAAGCTCTGCAGATGCATTGTCGACATGGCCGATGAAAACGTTGCGGGGGGTTCCCGGTCGCCAGGCCCGGCGCCGAGTGCATCTAACAAGGCGACAACGTCAGGCTTCAGCGCCACCTCAGCCCCGGCCCCCAGCCAGGGCCTCCGTCGGTCCTTCACTCTTGATGAGACGCGACGAAGGCCGCCTCGGATGCAGTCGCCCGTGAGTGATGCGTCGCTCCCTGGAATCCCTCGTCGCAGGAGCTCCAATTTCACCGAGTATAGTCTTGGAGAGGCACGCGACATCCTCAATCCTCGAGCAAAAGAGAGTGGAGAGCTCCCGTCAACCGAGTCATCCTCTCTGGCCTCAGCATCATTAGCTTTTGCCCTGCTCCCTGCACTCGCAGGCGCCGTATTCAAAAATGGTAGCGCTATAGCCACCGATCTGATGTTACTCGGCCTCGCTGGCGTGTTTCTTCACTGGTCCGTCACACAGCCATGGTGAGTCTATATTCTAAATGAATGCTTGTTCCCTCCTTTCCCCCTTTTCTTCCCTTTTCATTTGGCATTGCTTGGGTACTTATTAAACCTAACAATAAATGAACTCTTGCTATAGGGCTTGGTATCATTCGGCACAGGAAGTCCGGGTCCAGCATGAAGTGAACGGTGAATCCGCCTTGGATGACGAGAGTGGCGATGAGTTCGAGGGCGATGATCCTTTAGGCCGGAGCAGCACTTCTCTTGAGGATGTTCCCGAGGATGACTCAGTATCTCCGATCAATGAAACCCAGGTAGAACCACGCAAATCAACTTCGCGACAGAGGTCTGCACTTCGGGAGCTGTACAGATATGAAGTAATGGCCCTGATTGGTTGCTTCATCCTCCCCATCGCGAGTGCATACTTGCTACACACCATACGGGCGCAGCTAAGCCGCCCCTCTGAAGGTTTAGTATCCAACTATAACCTTACGATCTTCACTCTGGTGTCCGAGCTGCGTGTCTTTTCTCACATGTTTAAGCTTGTCCAGTCTCGGACACTTCATCTCCAGCGGATCGTCCACGATAACCCCAATGGGTCCCATTCCATAAACAACAGAAATTTGAATGACATTTCTGAGAGGTTAACAAGACTCGAGGCACGTTTTGAAACCGAGGAACGTGTGCCACAAAAACAGCAAGATGTGGACTCCGTGGCAATGGCTGCTATCTCCCGAGATGTACGCAATGCTATTCAGCCTGAACTGGATGCTCTAAACCGCGCGGTACGCCGTTATGAAAAGAAGGCAACTGTGCTTCAATTCCAGACAGATTCCCGCTTCTCAATGCTGGAGTCTAAAATGGATGATGCCATTGCGCTTGCTGCAGCTGCAGCTAAGAACAGCGCAGCACACAACAATGTCCTCATATGGATATTCGAGTCCATCGCCGGCCTAATTTTAATACCAATCAATGCTATCCTGCATGTTTTGTTACTTCCTATTCGATCTTTTCTCAACCTGACCTCACGAAAAAGAGAGAAACCTGTTTCACTGAAAGCATCACGAGCAACCAAAGGCAACAGCAACAAAGCCTCTGCTCAGGCGAGATATAGTGGTGACCGGGTGCCCACTAGAGTATCCAAGAGATAATGTGTATCGCTCAGCTCTGTTTTCCAATAATTTGGCGACACTACTTGCTTCCCTTTACTGGTTGTTTTTTAGTCACCTTGAAATGACAAACAAGCTTCTCCTGAAGATACATGGCTGGCAACTCATTTGGGAGCTGAAGTGCAAGAGGATCTCAAACCGTTTAACTGCGCTGGTTTTGGAGCAACTAGTTAGTTCCCTTGATAGCGAAATAACACTAATTGGATTTTTTTTTTCACTGGTGATCTTTTCTCATCACGGCCGGGCCGGAGCCATGAGCCTGTGGTACAGTCGACTGAGCCAAGCCCCAAATCTCAGGGCTGCTGATGCTTGCCCAATCCGCCAAAGCTCGACGCGGAGCATCACCGCCGCCTGCTCCTCGCTCAGGTAACGAGAGGAGTATGACGCGGTCTCGGAGATCGCGACGCGATTGCGGTCCGTGCTGTGACAAATTGAATTTGAGTTGTCTCGAAAATCTCACAATGCAAACGGTGGATTTTTTTAGTGCTCCGAGCTCACTCTCTGCGGATGTTTGTCCTCGCTGATAGCACCACACCCCTTCCCTCCGACAATATCCAGGTCCAGGGCCTTGGACGAGGTGAACACAGGACGTCGTATTTCTCTCGGCGAGGCGGTTTTTCAAATGTCTTGCCTCCCAGCAGCCACCGGGCCAACTACTCTGAGTCTGAGTGGGCGGAATGGTGGAAACGCTCTCGTGTCTCACCATCCGTATGTATGTTTGACCTCGATCAGAGCAGCCCACCTCTTTTTGCTTGACCGACGCGAACGGACACTCCTCGTACTTCTCGAGCTCTCCAGACCGATATTCGCGGTGTGGAAAATTGCCGGTGGCAAACCGTATTCACTTTGTCTGGTTTACGACTGACATTGACGTTGAGTAGGACGTCAGGGTTTCACATGTCTGACAATGGTCCTTCAAACATCGTATCGGGGATACAGCTCGACCGGAAGTTCTTTTGGCCTGGGAGATCCCTCTGCCATCTCTTCGGAGTGAATGAAACTGAGTGTCTTTTGACGTTGAGTGGTTTTCTTCCCTGAAACCATGATGTACTGTCTACTCCGCAGCGACTGCTTTGATTGTCTCATGTGCAACGACTTGAAACACTCCAGCGGAATATGTATCTTATTGCCAGGGGGATCAGCAATTCCGGTATGCAACCGTCAAGACTCAGAGCCAGGATGACGTTGGTGGACAGGTATATTTAAAAGTTTGAGCTGAAGATCTGGGCAGAGCTCATATTCTCGTGAATGGTGAGGCGGTTGGCCGGCGGATCGTGATGTGACCATTGATGGTCGGTGTCCCGCCTTAGTCGACAAGCAAGTCCCCAGCCATTTCTTTATTTCCCCGGCCCGGGCAAACTCTATGGTGGTTCATGTTCGTCGTATTCGGGGCGGTTGATCTTCAACCGCGTCTCACTCCGTTTGAGTTCGTCCAACTATTGTGCCTGCCCCGATTGCCGGGCTGTTGGGTAATCCTCGAGTGCAAGCCTTTCATTCTGCGTCTTTAGCGGGCGGGTGAGTCCCAAATGTGCAGAAGATGGGCATGGCCCGACTCTACGTTGCTTATCTACATACACGGTGGTTCGTGCTGTATATGACCGTCTTTGACGTCCCTAATATCTGCCATATCTTAAGTCGGAATTTGCCGTAGGTTCAGCTATCAATCAAACTCCCAGCCTTCTCAAGATACTGTCCAAGCCAGCATGGAATCAGCATAGATGCAGCATTATGGGGGATCTCAAGAGCATGAAGGTTTGGCCCGGCGTACAGTTTGGCCGATTACTTGCACTTTACGCGCTATGGAGCGCGAAGGGAATAACGCGTTCCTGGATTTGCGGCTCGATCGGCCAGCTCAAGGCGTTGCTGGCAAGTGGGCTTGGTCATCCATCGCGGGAAACAGGGGTTATGAAGTCATGGCGGAACTGGTCAAACTCTATCAGAGGCGCTACTGACAATGCTAGCAGAGTGCGTGTGGCTATCGGATGCTGCCATGGATTCCGGTTTACATGGACTATCGAGGACTTTCCTCATTCGGCTCAATGGCAACACTCGGAGGTTTGGTTCTTGGTGGGGGTTGATCGTCTTTGGGTACACAACTCGGAGAGAACGTCACCAGCGCGAACGCGTAGCTCCGTATGTGTCTTTGCTTTATGAGTCTGGCGCAGGAAAGTCCCGGGTGTTTCTGGGCGCACGTATTCACTTTGTAAGACGCCGGCAGGGCAGAGGCTCAGAATCACTGTTGGACGAGGCGCCGAGCGGTGATCTGTAAACCCACTCGGCACACTTGCACAATGTATTACATGCTATTCTTGCGAGGAGTCACAAGAAGAGCGGTCATAAGGCCAGTCCTCATGAGGTCATGATTTATTTCCCGAGACCAAGGCGCAGAAATCTCCCTATTGGGGGGGCTGCCTTTGATCAACTAGTCGAGCTGACAATCGAGATTTTGTTCGTCGCGTGATGCTCCTTGTCTAATTTCAGAACCGCGTGAGCCCACAGAAGAGGCGATGGAAGCAGAAAAAAAGAAAGAAAGAAAATTTCTCCTAGTTCGGATCACCGGACGGGGTCGGGTCTGATGATAATAATATCGTAGGACGCGCAACTGATTGCTCGATCTTAAAGTGGACCTTTAATCTTAAAAGCGCGTCCATCGACGGCGGCCATTGCGGTAGCGCATGCGCCAAGTGGTTGTAGTATTCACAAGCCAGATTCATTCTCAATACTGATGCCTGGATTGGTCGTACGAACGAGAGCTGATGTGAAAATGAGATCGGTTGTCCGAGCCTTCCACAGCGGAGCGGCTGTTGGCTAGGCGTTGGGTAACATTTGGACAGTACGGGTTTCTTCTGTAACACCAGTTGGAGCGTAAAGCCACAGCTGGGTAGATCACAGAGCAGGTAAGGGTCTTCTGAAGTCTTTCAGCTCGTCTCGGCAGCGCGAGGAAGCTAGATCCCATGACCAACAAGATACAGCGAGGAATTTGAGCTTCAACGTCAAATTGAGGGCCGGCAATGCAGGGCACAAGTGCGGAGCACACCGCCCACCTCACCGTTCACAACGAAGGAGGGATGAAGACGAACAATTATGCAGGTCTCGGCCTGGTGGAAAAGTGGCGGTCGGTCCATCGAGACAACGCTCGGCTGGCGTGCTCTGCTAGCTGAGCTGGCAGACTAGGGACCTGTTTTTCTCTGCGGGTGTGAGTTGTCCAGCGAGTAACGCTAACGGGGAGGGTTCACAGCTCTGGCTGATGAGTTGGCGTCCGTACTATGGTTGAAAATGTCTCTCGACTAATCAAGCCGTGCATATGCCTAATGTACGTGCAGGTCGCCCATGCAGGGTATGATGGCCTCCTTGCAGCTGGGGGGAAACGAGGCACACGCAGGCTGCTGCAAGCCCGACACTTCCAGCCGCTCAAAATGGAAGGGTGTGAACAACCAGGAAAAGCTCGACTGCCCACGAGAGGGCATCCGCTTGGTCGGGAGGTGGAGATCCTCAGGGGTTCAGTCGACTCCGACCCATCACCAAGGATCCAATAAATGCCTAATCTGGGCAGCTAATCTTAAACTTAAGTGATTGCAGGAAAGCGGCCGTGCGAGAGCCAGTTTGCCATACGGCCTTGCTTGCTTTGCTCATGCCACTTGGACAATGATTCGCAAGCCGTCTGACAAGCTTTTCGAGGGCGAAGGTTTTGGCGTTGGTTATCGATGAGTTGCGGTTCGATCGAGCAGTTGCGGGGGAGTTATGCCGATCCGATTTGGGTCTAGCGGAGAGAACACATCGGGCTCACTTTTTTATGCATTGCAGCCAAAGATAGGTAGAAAACGGTCCTCAGAACGGGTCTATTTCAGCTCCGTTTCGTCAATGCTTTAATCAATAGATGGATCTTGATAAAGCTGTAGGCATATATCAAAGGTGAATATAGCGCCTATAGTTGGCAGGGAAAGGTAAGAAAACGGATCGATATTGGATATGAAGAGATTGATCATTTCTCCTAACTCTACGACATTGACACAATGCCCACCACAGCACCGCCAGAGAATACTTTGATAAGAATCAATGGCCAAGTCAGCCTTCAGCCACATCTTTTCTCCGCCACCGCATAGACATGCCTCTCAATAGGGCTCATCTTGGCGACGGTCCATGAATAATCAATGCAAGCTGGAAGAGCTGAGTGAGACAGCTTGGTGATCAATGGGATCTCGGAGCCCGGATTGGCCATCAACCCAGCCATTGACCTGCGCGTCTGCTGGCAGGCAGAGCTGAACTCGCTCCCACAGTCCCAACAGTCGCCCAAAGCGGAGAAGACCACATGCGAGCGGCTAATTATGGGGCTCCCAATAATGCGCTGACCAAACACCACCCCGTAAATAACGGTCAATGCGGTTGTTCTTTATGCACGGGTAATACACAGCCCCAGCGTCAGTGCCAGTGCGACATATTAGGGGACTGCTGCATTGACAAGAGTCGTCTGAAGGTGCTCGCATGAGAGGTGAAAGTGTTCCCTGACCGAGACGAAGCACGCATTGGGATCGTATCCTGGACTGTGATGACGCCTGGTTTGGGTGAGTTGCATGCATTGAGCATGAATTCATCACCCGCGAAAATCAAAGCTCTTCTTGCTGATCATTTGTCGGTCTCACTTTTATTATTTAGGACACCCACCCAGCGATTGGCACGGGCGGGAGGCAGGGCATTGAGAACCCGATGATGGGCAGCAGGGCAGGCGGCAAGGATGGCAATGACCACTGGATTCTGGCAGAGTGAGTCGGACGAACAAGGTGGTCTGAGCTAGAGAGGTCCGATCTCAACGCGCACTGTATCGCGTCCGTCCTTGCTATACTGTCCCCAGCACGCAGCTATACCCATCGCACGATGTTGGAGAGGGAAGCTCCCACGATAGGTACCTGAGCTGCAGTCACAGTGGAGCTGGTTCAGGTGGTGCCTGGCTGGCAGACCGGTCTAGCAGGACAGCAGGGGGCCAG